ATTGGGACAGTTTTTGGACAAATCTCCTTCAAGGCTTGATAGAAACGTGTGCAATACTTAATTTCAATTTATATTCTAAACCACGACAACTGATCTTAAACGGATTTTGCCTTTGATACAGTCCTCCAAATGATTTCTGTTTTGATGCTATATTACCTATTATTAAAAACTAGATCATTGGATAATGCAATTCAAGACTTTTTATTGGCTTAGCCCTTATGGTATATCAGCCAATATACCATAATCTACAAATATGGCCATCGTAAGTGTCAGCTTAATATTAAAAGGGAGCTAAAAATTTAATAAAATTTTATAATTTAATTTAACGTTTTTAATAAAACAATTATTCCACTCGCTCTTGTTGGATATGAGATGATTATAGCCAACTCAGCGCTACGCGCTTCGTTGGCTATCTATCATCTCATATCCAACGCGCGCTCGTGGAATAATTGTTAATTAGTCTCTAATTTTCCTGCGAACTTCCATTTATATAAAGAACACTTAGCTGAGGTTGTCAGTGTTCTTATTAAGCCTTTCACTCTCACTATTTCATTAGTAATTCTCCTTATTAAACAGTTGACAACGCAGGTGGGCAATATGAAGCGAATCCTGTATCAGTCTTCTGATTGGCTACCAGCGCGGGCAAGATGGGCCCATCTTGCCTGCTCGGGATTGCCCGCTTTGATCCCGAGCAAGAAAAAAATTGCGTGGAGCGGACTTACAAAGTTCGTAGCTTTTTGATAATGTCGGCGATGGAGTTGCAAAAAGCGGCAGAAGACAATCAAAACAAAGAAAAAATTAAACGACTCTCGTGGGTTCTCCAGTTATACTCATTGTGGTACAAACACGCTTCGATTTCTTTCCCGGTTGTCCAAAGAAACAAGTCATTCTTGACTCTTATTATATCGAATATCATAAATCCTTTATTGACCAAGTTGGTTCGGTCAAGATGCCTGGATATCAGCCTCGTTTTTGTTTTGTTTGCGTTTTTATGGACCTTGACTTTGTCGCGGTCCATAAAAACGCTAAAACAAAGAACTCGGTCAATATCCAGCCATCTAGACATCACGCTTGGTGAATGACGCATATTTACTGTCTGCCATAGAATTATTATCATGTCACTTCCAAGAATTTGGTCTTCGATCAACTGCTAATCCTTTAGTTGATATTTTTCTTTATTCTCAACACTTGTCTGCTCAATATTGTATCCATTCGATAGTGTAAGGAGAAATTCTGTCTTGGTGACTCATGGAATAATCAACCAAAAGGGCTCACGTTGCACATGTAACTGATTATGCATGCTAAGGTACTTAGCATGAGCTCAATTGGATTTAAAAATACGAAAAAAAACACTAAAAATTTTTATTTTTATTTCGCATTGAAAGTAAGAGGGGATCAGACCTCGCCATTTATGTAATGTGGGCTTCGCTTATTATATTATCTGCCCATCTTGTGTATGAAATTGTTAAGACTTTTAACGGACAAATTGTTAGGGCTATTTTCGTAGACTTCCAAAAAGCTTTTGACACTGTCTCACATGAGATCCTATCTTTCAAGCTCCAAGCAGTTGGTATCTCTGGCCCATTACATCAGTGGCTAATTAATTATCTATTTGATAGATATCAATACACAGAAATAAACAGCAAAAGGTCAGCTCTTCTTCCTATTAAATACAGTGTTCCTCAAGGATCCCTGCTCGGCCCAAGATTATATACCATCTATACCAATGACCTTTCTAACCAAGTTAAAGACGGCTTGGCCATGATGTATGCTGACGATAATACACTTTATACGGTTGGTTCAAGTATCGACCAAGTTATCTCATCCCTGAATGTTATGATGTCGCAGATATCTAAGTGGAGTTCTCTAAACAAATTGACTATTCACCCTTCAAAAACTGAAGCTATGATACTGGCAAAGCAACAGTTTATTGGTCCTTTGCAGCCTTTGCTCTGTGGCTCTGGCTTTGTGAAGTTTGTTACGATTGACAATAAACTCTCCAGGCACTCCCAAGTAGACATTGTTAAAGCTTCCTTTTCCAAAAAAATTGGTGCTCTAAGAAGAATGTCATATTTAACTAAGCTGACCCTAAAAGAAATATATTTTAAAACAATTATACCTAGCATTACCTATGGAATATCAGTGTGGGGTAATTGTTCTCAATCATCACTTAATAGTCTAGATCATATTCATGCTCGTGCATGTCGTATAATTAATCGTCTCCCTTCTTCACAAGAAAGTAGCTCATGTTTGTTTCAGTGTAATTGGCTCCCTATTAGCTATTTATATAAAAGATGTATATTAATTAAGATGCATCAAATCTTTGTAGGGACCGCTCCAAGCCAAATTCTGGACATGTTTTCAATGTCATCCAGATCAACAAGATGTTATAATCAATTTAATATTATTAGGGTAGAGTCTGAACTTGGCAGAAGTTCCCTGCAATATAGAGGCCCAAGTATATGGAACTTTATATATAAAAACGTTTAACTATGTAATGTTAGCAAAGAAGGGTTTAAAACAATACTTAGAAAGCACTCAAAAGACTTTCTTAAACTCTCATTTAATAAGGAAGCCATTCTAATTTCAAATAAGAAAAACGACTTTATTTATTACTGATCTTACGGATTCTATAAGTCCACCATTTAGTTTATCTATTATTACTATCTATTATCTATTTTAACTTTTACCCATAGCAGCTTTCTTGTAATTAGGCATGTGGTGTAACTGTGTTTGTGATTGTTTTAGTCTATGATATATTTTACATATTTTAGATAGTTTTACATAGCAGGTCCACTTCAGCTGATGGCTGCCGATGTAACTATTACTTTGTAATTTTTGTAATTTTCAACCTGCTTTATCAAATAAAGAATTGATTGATTGATTGATTGAACGGCTCATAAGCCGCCCGAGGAGCCTAAAATATATATTTAGTTCCTTGATTGAAGTTTTTTAACGAAGATTTTTGCTGATATAATAACTTCGTGAGCAACTTTTTTGAATAAAGGCTGATAGTTTCTAAAGAAACTGTTTGGGGCTGCGTCGGTGGGGGTAACAAAAAAATTTGAATATATCAACGTCAGCTTTTATAACCGTAACGGTGGCCAATTTACCATTTAAACTTTCGTATGATGCACGATCCTCGCAGTAGAGAGCGCTATTTATGCAATAGCGAAAATCTGACCTGAAAAAAATCAGGCCTGTACGGGATTCGAACCACTGACCTCTGCGATACTAGTGCAGCGCTCTACCAATTGAGCTAACAAGCCAACTGGGAGCAGGTCGTTAAGTTGATTCGTAATAAACCCGTGA